TTTACCCAGGCCATTAGCAGGGAGTTGGATCAGAAGATGAGCAGCTGGGACATGAACCAGCACCCATATGGGATGCCAGAGTCACAGGCGGTGGCTTTACCTGCTATGCCACATGCTGGCCCCTTAAAAATTGTTTAAAAAATAAATTCCCTTTTAAATCTAAACTGCTCTGAGTCAAGGTCCTGTCTCATTGCTATTTAAAGGGACAAGAATCCAAAGACATATAGAAGGTGGGATCTACTGAGATGGTGCTGGGTGAAAGTAAAAGGGGCACCATGCCTAGAGGGATCATGATGCTAACTGCACCTGATCTGGGAGGAGACCCTGGAGGCTATGGTGAGCTATGGCTGCAGGGAAAGTAGGGGACCTAAGGTGTGGGCAGGTGGGGCACAGCAGAGCTGCCTGGGCACTAAATGGGCACAGGTGCCCTTCCTTGATTTCTAGGGAGACTGACCTCCAGGTACCTCCACCTGAGCAGCCTCTTCTGCTTCTCACAGTGATGTGACATGCTGCTGACCTGTGTATGTTGTGAGAGGTAAAAGTTGGCAAATGTCACTCTCATTGCAAATGGTGCTCTAGGGCTAAAGGCCACAGACTGGGGCTGGCATTGTGGTATAGTGGGTTAAGTTGCCACCTGCAACGCTGGTTCATGTCCCAGCTGCTCCACTTCCGATCCAGCTCTCTGCTATGCCCTGGGAAAGCAGTGGAAGATGGCCCAAGTCCTTGGGCCTCTGCACCATGTGGGGCTCCTGGCTTCAGCCTGGCCCAGCCCCAACCATTGTGACCATTTGGCTTTGGCTTGGCCCAGATCTGGCTGTTGCAGTCATTTGGGGAGTGAACCAGAGGATAGAAGATATCTCTCTCTCTGTCTCTCTCTGTCTCTCTGTCACTCAACCTCTCAAATAAATAAATAAATCTTAAAACAAACAAATAAAAACCTTAGACCACAAAGAATGGGATTGTGCCAGGTGGAATACTAAACCCATCAATCTACCCTTCCGCTAGGGCTGGAGGCAGAGCTAAGAGCAGGATCCCCAGAAAGACAGAAATTCTGCAGTGGAAGAATTCTTGGCAACACCAAAATAGGATGGCATGGTTAGGAAAATCGTGGCAGATGGCAAGAGACCGCCCTCCCTGGGTGACAGGAGTAACTTCCTGCATCCTCCTGTTGCTGTAGGTTGGTTTGCTCCCCTACAGCCACCCCCAGTCTCCCTTCCCAACGAAGCCTCAATCTGTCCTGGGGCAATGTGCCCAGCCTTGGTGGATGAATCAAAATTGACCAAAGCCTGCTTGTGGCAACCCCATCACCATTGCCAGTGAAAGGACAAGCTGTGGCTCAAAGGCAGGTCTGCTGAAAGGTGCTGGGAGAGTTTTCTCCCAAGTTTAAATAAAAGAGAAAGCTCAATGAGCTTCCTTCTGTTCTACCTTGACTCTTCTTGGATGAAGACATGCCTGGAGCGGCAGCAGTCATCGTAGAACCACGAGGAAAGGAGAAGAGAACGGCAGGCATGGCTGGCACCCAGTCATCACCAAGTCCCTGAAGGTGGAGGCCTGGCTTCCAGGCTTCTCTCGTTATGTAAGACAATTTGGTAACATGTTTATGCAATCACACTCAGGCATTCTGGTCCTTGCCATCAGAAGCCGGGGTTAAAGGGTGTGGGGTGCAGAGGAGGGGTTTCCAACGCTCCTCTGCTGGTGAGGAAACCCACACACCTGGCCTGCCCTGCTCTGCCTCCTGGATCCCCCAGCACCAGAAGCCGAGGTAGAAAAGTCCAATTCAACAATCCCAAAACACATCTGTGGCAGGAGTGCCCCAAACAGGTGGCTTGTTCTAAACATGCCGTGATATTATACAGCTCTCCCAAACTACAGCAGTAAAACAAGTTTTACAGAGAAGAGCGGAGACAGAAAGTGAGCACGCCAGGAAGTAATCGGAAAGAAACTTTGTTTGTTTATGAGCCAGGAAATGTCAAAGAAACAAATATATCTATGATTTATACTCCATCTCCTGTTGTACCACAGGATTAAAAATAAGGCATTTGTATCTAAACAGACACTCTGGAGCAGCACAAGCCGACAGAGGCCAAAAGAGCTACAGTAGGTTTAACTTGGCCAATGGAACAGGCTCAACAGTAGGAGAGGAAAACACTTGAATTTTCCCTGAGTCTCTGTACTCTTCTTGTTTTCGAATTGATTGGTCTGGACAGTGGAAGGCCTACAGCCAACAATAAATCCACTGTAAGCTGGAAATGGTCTCCTCTGAATACAACTAAATATTTCCTTAATTCTTGCATTAAATTTTTCTACAGAAGTGAGAAAGCTGTGTGCTCTAGAATTGAAGCTTCTGTAACACTTGTAACTGTAGGTGCGACTATAGAGGGGCTGGGTTACTTAGGCAACCTTTTTAAAGCACTTTAAAAGCAAAATAGTAGATGTTTGCTTTGCATGAATATTTTCAGATCTTACGGAAGATACTATCGTTGGTTAATGGCTCCTGCTCAGAAATCTTGTTTTTATATGCCGAAAACTATTTTTCTCCTTTTCGGTCATGGGAAGCATCTTTAATAGTCACGAGTTAGCATGAATATTCCTTTTTTTGTAGCTTCTATGCCTATTTTATCAAGGAAATCAGCCAGTCCCTGAAAAAGCTATTTCACATTTCTGTTCCCAAGGGAACACAGAATGGGTCCCATTTTAACAGTGGCTTTTGTTGGTTGATTTTTTTTTTTTTATTGAAGTTGTGTGCGCTTGTCAGGGATTCCTTTTCTTCAATTTGGACGTGATTGCTGCCATTGATGCTCTAAGCAGATCTGTTGGTAAGAGGATGAGCATCGAGAACCGTCACATACACACAACTCCTTCAGCACTGGCTTCAGAGAGGTGTCGCTGAGAGCACACCAGAGCTGGAGCGTACATGTTCAAATACAAATGTTCTTCCCTCAAGAGACTTGTTTGGGTCAATATGTATCTGTCTTTCATATCTAAAGGCTTAAAAAAGTACCTACGTATCTACTGAAAGTCAGCTGCTGGCTCCCCAGCCTGGGCCTCCCACACAGCCTACCTCATCCTAGCCAGGGAACTCACTGTCACTAAGCTGTGCACATTTCCCATCCAGTGACATTGACAGAGCAGCCAGTGGCCTGGAGACAGATGCCCTCTCACAGGGGACACCCCAACAGCCAGAAGCTCAATCCCAATGTATTTATGCTGTGGCACCTGTGACTCTCCAGTGGCCGGGCAAACTTGCCAGCTTCCACTCCAGGCACAACAGGTGCCACACACCCCAAACTCTGCATAGCTACTGGCTCAGTGGGTTGCATGGGACAGCAAATTCTCAAGTGGGAATTCCAGGGATCCAAATTATCCCTTTGTCTTTCTAATCAAGAGCAGAGATGGGGGTTTGGAGAAAGAGGGAAGGAGAGAGAGAAAGAGGGAGAGACAGAGGGAGGGAGGGAGGGAGAGAGAGAGAGAGAGAGAGAGAGAGAGAAAATCTGTTCACAAGCTCACTCATGCACTACAGTTCTCCCAGGTCAAATTCAGTGCTGCAGGAGCAAGCTCCTTGAAGTGACCGCGAAGTCTCTCCTTGCTGAAGCTCAGAACTTGAAAACCATCACATCTCCACAAAGGCTGAGTTCTCAAGACCCCAACTCTGGTAGTGTGGGTACAATCTGTCAGCTCCTTGTGTAAACGTTTTGCCAGGATTTCTGGTTTTATTTTTACTACGTGGGAGGGGCCTCCCATTAGCAAGAACAGCTACTGCTATAGCACTGACAGGTACTGCTGGCCCTCCATAAATCCATTCAACACCCTGGTCTCCAGGGATTTGCCAAAAGATAACCGGCAGCAATTACCAAACCACCACCAGGAGTTGCCAGCGGGGCTCAGGCGAGATTACTGAAACCTCAAGGTAGAAAATAAGAAACCACCTGATGAAGCCACAGTTTTGCCCAGAACCAAGCTAGGAAAGATACAATACTGGTTTAAGAAGAGGTAGGTGTAGCGCAAATGAACGCCACCACGAGGCCGCACTCACAGCCCAACAGAGACCACAGCTGGGTACAGGGTGGGGAATAGATGGTGACAGGCCTGCCCTCCACAGGGAAACATGGCCTCCTTCCACACCTACCCCTCCCTCCCCTCCAGCCCCGGGCCTGTCCGGGGCTTCCTCCAGGAAGCGCAACTGCTGCTCAAAGGTCCGAGTCTGGGCAGTGCTGGGTGAGGGCTTTGAGGCGCCTGCTTGGAAGACACTCAGCAGCGCAAACTGTAGCCGCTCACAGAGCCTCCCTGGAGGCTATCACCAAGTGTGTCACATGCCCACCTCTTCGTCCAGGACGGGGCATGCCCGCCAAAGAACGGAACCCAGGGCTTCTGGTACCAGCTCAACTCCTCCAGTCCTCCTCCGCAGCTGCCCAGGGTTCCCCTCAGGCCGGGTCGCGCGCTCTGCGCTCAGCTACCGCAGCCTGGGGACACAGCATCCTCAGGATGAATCTGCTTCCAAAGGAGCTTCCCCAGGCGCCTAGGCTGTACAGGGCGGTCTGGGCTGAGCTGGGGGCCCTGCAGGGCCCCGGCTCTCGGCCTGGCCGAGGTTTTCCTGTGCCGCGACCGCCAGCCGCTACGGATACATCCGCTTTGGGAACAGTAGCTGCTACCGGCGGAGGCACCGGCCGCCGCTCGCATGAGCTCCGGCAGCGAAGAGCGGGCGCGCACACACCCGAGAGATTCAGCCCCACGTCTCCTGCGCCCAAGTGCGTCGCGTTTCCTTTTCCTCCGTATGTTCACCCCTTCAAGAGCTCTTCGAGCTCCCTCTTCCCGCCCGCCGCGCGTCCTGGCACGGGACTCTGAGGCAGGAGTGGGGACCGCACAGTGCCCTGGGGGCCAACACCCCCTGGTCTCCGGTCCCCGCTGAGGCATCCAGCGACCCCTCCTCAGGATGGCCGACACTCCCCCAGCTCGAGACATCGCTGGCGGCGGGACGGCCCCCGCCCTGCCCGGTGCCTCACCTCGCGCAGCAGGCGCTCCAGGTGCGGCTCGGCCCAGGCGGCCAGGGCGCCAGGCGGCCCCGCGCGCCGCAGGAGCTCCCGCTCCTCCTCGAGCGCCGCCACTCGGCCCTGGAGCGCGGCCGCCTGGGCGCCCAGCAGCAGGCAGGCAGCCGCTGAACCCACGGAGAGCAGCAGGCACAGCGCGCTCGCCGCCCGGGTCCCGGCTGTCTTCGCGGGTCTTCCCCCACCGCCGCCACCGCCGTCCGTAGGGCTGCCCTTCCGCACGTCGCCGCCGCCCCCGGCGCGCTCGCCTCGGCTCATGGCGCGCTGGTTGCGCGTGGGCTCTGGCGGGGCGCGGTGCAGCACCCAGGCCGCACGCTGAGGGTGCAGAGAGCCGGCGAGAGCGCGCGAGGCACGAGGTCTGCGGGGCTGGAGACCTGGCCTCCGGGCAGCAGCGGATCGCAGCGCACGCCCCCTTCGCTGCTGCCGCCCGCTCCTCCACAGCGGCCACTTTGGGCAGTTTCTATGCAAATAGACTCTGCCAGAAAAGGAGCCGGGACCCACCCAGGGGAGGAGCGGCCTGGTCGGTCCCGCGCACCGAGGGGCGGGGGCGAACAGGGAGCTGGCTCCTTGGGGCCACCCGTGCGCGCGGGACCGACCCGCACGCAGCGCAAACCTCTGTCCGTGAGGCCCCGGGCGCCGGACTTCACCCACTCCCCCAACGCTCGCCTGGGCGGATCCGCAGCCCCCAGAGGCCTGAGGTGCGTCGGGGGACTCTGCACGTCATCTGCCGCCCATCCTGGGCTGGAATACCGATCATGCCTAGGGAGCATCCTCCAAAACTCGTGAATTAACCTGGTGCTTCTTAGAAGTTCAGAACTTCAAGTCCTGTGGAAAACTTGGTGGGTCTGCCCTCGCTGGTGGCTTAGCGCCGCTTCGTGGTCAAAAAGCGACCTTGCACACTCAGATTAAGAGACACAGTCGGAGACGACACTCATTGAGCCAAGCAGAAAGCTGCCTCTTAGAATCCTGATTCTCTAAGTGCCCGACAGGGGTGCGTGGAACAGAAATAAGTCTGTTCCTGACCCAGAGAGGGCTTTTAGTTGAGAACACAGAGATTCTAACAAATGACAAAGGTGTGAAATTACAACTTTTGTTGATGAATAGTGGAAACAAATTGCTAAAAATGATGTATTTGTTATAATGCGACGACACTTCAAATTTACATCACAGGTTAATGCAGGAAAGTTTTGGTGTGCAGCCAGGGTCCAAAGAGAGGGCGGCTCATCTGCTGGAGTGGCTTTGAGAGTCTTGGCAGGAAGGGAAAGGCCAGAAGTCAAGTAGGTTCCTGTTGGGTGGCAGATTCCTAGCACACATATTTATATGCTAAAATAGGCTCCAAGTCACTCTTCCACCAACTTCTGAACACCCAAGTAAAAATAAACCACAAGCTTAAATCTTGGTAATTTGGGCAGCTCACAAATTTTTTTTTAGAAAAACGCCTGTTACCTGCTATGGTACTTGAGGAGGTTTGTGCTGGGACAATTAGGACCCAGTCTGGGACACTTGCATCCCATCTCGGGAGTGCCTGGGTTCAAATTCCAGCTTCCACTAATGGGCATGCTAGTGGACTGAGTTCCCAGCTCTCAGCTTTGGCCACCAGTCATTTGGGGATTCTGGGAAGTTAACCAGTGGATGGTGGTCTCCAGCTTTCCATTTTTTAAAGCTAGTGGAAAATGAGTATCTTGAAAATATGTAGATATTTCAAATTTGCTTTACACCATAAAAAACTTGATTCCCTTTTCCCACAGACTTTGCACCTTTGTATCTTTCCCTCATTGGATGCCTTCTTCTGGCTAAAGTTTACTTCATTTCTGTGGACAGGTTACTTAACTTTTAAAACTGCTAAGGACTCCAGCTAATGTGTCTATCCTTACTCCCTTAATTCAAAGGAAAAAATTACCCTGAGATTGACAGAACAGATGGAATTAGAGCTCACCTCTGAAGCTTTGTAGCTGTGGCTGTAGGTAAACTGGGGTTACTGTTAGGGAGTTAGTTCTGCCCGGTGCTAGAAGCTAGCATATAACTGAATAATCTGCAAAGGCCTTGCTACACAATCTTGGCAGTATACTCTGAAAAGGCTGACATCATATTCCAAGTTAGTACTCACTCTTACTATACACCTGCCATGATGTAACTGTCCCAGAACCTTCTGTATACTGAAATTCACTGGTCCCTCAGGCCTCTGCCCTTGCCTACCGCCCTCACTATCTGGAATATCCTCCTGTATCTCAGAGCAGCAAGTTCCTCCTCACCCTTTAGGTCAGGTCCTGAAGTCATTAACCTTACTGCCTCTAAAAAGCCCTCCCAGCCTGCCCACTGTAAAGAGGCTGCCTCCCCTCACCTCATCCCCTCAGGGTCAATCAGGGGTTCATGGCATTTTTCGGTTTGAAGTTACCCTTTAACTACATCTCCTTGTCCTGCTCATTACAATCTTTTCGAAGAACAGAAGTGTATCTGGCACAGTTGGTACATTTATCATTGAACTGGTCTCATTCACCACTGTTTTCTCACAGAATGGTTATGATACTTCACAAAACTCATGCAAAATGCAATTAAAGGCTAAGTTTATTTTGGTGCCAAAAATTCTGAAATCCATGCACATGAGGCCAAGAGGGTCTTCAAACAGTTCACTTTTGAATCAAAACAAACATTTTCTAATTCCACTTTGCACTAACTTTTTGAAGTACCCTTGTATCTGGTATATAGTGCTTAAGACATATTAAGTGAATTGAGATGAAAATGTTTGTTTACTGTCTACAATTCAGTGAAAAGGCAGAAAACACTCTTGTGTAGGCTGGGGTTCTGGAAGATAAAGGAAAAGTGCTCTGCGGGTATCCACATGGGACGCATTACCAATCTTTAATTGAAGAGGTGAGGTGAGAAGACCCTTTGCAACCTATGGAACTTGTAGCCTTTAGTTAAGGGACACAGCTTCTGCAAAGCCATGGCTTGGAAGGGAGAGAGTTGGGGGAATACTCAGTCTCTCCCCTCCTTCTGGGGCCTCCCACCAGCCATACCTGCAGACACGGGAGCCCAGGTGATACAGTGCAGAGGTCGGCCCCTTAAAGGACAGAGACAGCAGGCAGAAGGGGGGCCAGATCTGGGGAAGGTGGAGGGTAAAAGAATATCCACCTAATCTAGCATGCATGTACAGCAACACCTGACAAGTAGATAACACTCACCGAGGTCAGTCTAGCTACTTCTGCCCCAGAACCGCTAACCTGCCAGCAATAAACACTAAGTCCCAACAAGGCACTCCACAGAACTGGCCACCTAGCAGTAAACCAACTGATTTGGACTCCAGCCTGGAAGCACGGTGGTATGTGTTCCACAAAGATAAGTACAGGATTTCACTTTACAGCAAAGGAGGCAGGGTGAGCCCATGACCATGGAATCCTGCACTGGCAAAAACCAGCCAGCCTTACAGGACAGAAAAGCCTCATGCAGGCACACAAGACTGACATCAGAGGCAACCCTCTGGAAGTGCATACGCATAGCTCTTTCAGAAGTTCGTGTATGTATTAAAATCAGGGGCTGCTTCCAGTAATACATGGGTCCGGGAACCAGAGGGTAGAAGTAAGAGTGGCCCCACTAATCATCACTTTCTAGGACCTCCTTGGGGGTTTGTCCTCCTAACTCTGGGCATAGCAAATTGGAAATCCTAGTTCTCAAACGGGTTACTCTTGCCAAGGGATGAAGCAACATTATCAACATTATTTGTTATGGCCTTTTACAACAGTTTGCAACCCTATCTGACCCAAATAATCTAATACATTTTGTAAGGCTCTTTTTATTCTAAACAGTGTGACCCTGCTTAACTACAAGCTAAAGCTGCCACTCAGGGCAGCTGAACTCTGTACAGGGATCTGTAAAGGGAAGTACCATTTGGGCAGGAGTAACTGACCCTGATCAGCAGGATTAATGTGAGGCTCCTTTATACAATGGGGGCAGGGAAGAATACAGCAGGCACCCATGACACTCCTTTGCCCCACCCCACTGCTTTTGAGTAGAAACGGGCAGCAATCAGCCTAATGATTGGCATGTTTCACACTCCTCAGGATTAAAAGTACATTACAACATGTTTTATAAAACAGGGATTACTTGGGTCAGAGAGGGTTGATACACACTGCAAAGGCCCAGAACCATTTATGTTGACAATGAACAGGTTCTAATATATTTAAAATGTCATTCAAGGCAGAGGTATGCAAGCCATTCTACTGAAATTCCCAGCAAAATTTCAAGGTTTAAATTAACCCATGAGGTATAATATAGATAAATTTCATTATCTTGGAACATAGAAAAGGCAGTGTTATGATACAGTAAAAACAGCACACGTTGTCAATGCCTAGATTCCAGTCTAGGCTCCCCTAATAGCTCACGGTATAAACTGAAGCCACTTACCCTTCAGATTTCATTTTCACTTTTTGAAATGAAAAGTGAGACAGGGACTAGACTTATTCTCCTGCCTGTAACAACTTAGAAACCAAACAAACTGTATTAAATAGTTTTCAAGACAGTGGACATCAGCCATCAAAAATGACTGTGATCTTTGGGAGATGGGAAACAGAAACCAAGACTGCCCCAGCTTACTATTTACTAGAGATTTTCCAGGCCACAGTGTTGGAAATGGGCACGAAGCAGAGCTGGCATAAGGTGAAGAGAGAAGAGCTGCCAGTCTAGGGAGGCCAAGTGGTTAGAACTACAGAGACTGGAGAGAGTTGCACAGAACTACAGGAACCTTAAGGGTTCCCCTGAAGTCTTCCCTTGAGGACTGATGAGTATATGTACATGAGGAAACTACCTAAGGCCAGGTGCAAACAAACCCCATAGCTTACACAAGGCCAGGGACGGTTCTTCCTACCAGCCAGTGTAGGAAATGGGATTCAGAAGACACTGAGTAGAGAATTCAAAAGTTTTTTGCTTCAATACTGTGCAAAAATCCCAAATGCTGTACTGATCTGCCTAACACAACCTGAAAAAGACCAAATTGAGTCAAATAACTTTACAATGTCCATAAACAAAGATCAAGAAATAAGGAATACAAAAATATCCAGCACAAAGTGGAACAAAAGTAAAAAATATCATGTAGACAATAGCAAAGGGATGGCTCATGACAGAGAAAAGGTAACCCATTAAAACTGACCCAGAAATGAAAGTAGAGAATTAGAAGATAAGGATACTACAGTTTTAACTATTCCATACCTTTACCAAACTAAAAGAATGACAGAACAGGTTAAGCCGACACACCATTGACTTTCCAAAAAAATCTGAAACTTTAATCTCTAAAAATGACAATGTTTGAATGAGAAATATACTAGATGGATTTAAAGGGAAAGCACTACTTTGGGAACCTGATGCATCTGCTGGGGGAAAGGACAGAGGTGTAGGCACGACAGTGGCACTGGAAGAATGGAATTAGGCAGCACAAAAGATGGCAAACATCTTACTCTGCAGTGTCATACTGCTAGGCTCAGCTGAAACTTTTCTCTTTACATCAAATCCTTCTTTTAAAATTATCATCACATACAATATAGTCCAACTATTTGGAAGAGCACATTCACTATATGTGACTGCATCAGAGGCCCAAACAGAATTTATGCAGTGGCTCTGTGGTAAAATTCATTTTAGTTTTCCTAAATACTTGGTGAACTCTACAAACACAGCTTTACTCTACTGATAATGCTGCTCCCAGTTAATACAGGGAATTCAGTCATATAGGAGAGTTCTGGAGCTAGCTGCAGTGCTAGCATCCCATATGGGCAATGGTTCAAGTCCTGGCCACTCCACTTCTGATTCAATCCTTGCTAGCGTGCCTGGGGAAGCAGCAGTACTTAGACACTTGAACCTACCTGGGAGACCCAGAAGCAGCTCCTGGCTCCAGCCTGGCCCAGCCCTGACTGTTGCAGCCGTCTAGGGAATGAACCAGCAGATGGAAGATATCTCTCTTCTCTGCCTCTCAAATAAATACATAAATCTTAAAAAAAAAATTTCTATGTATTTTCTGCTTAAAGTACAGACATACATAAAACTCAAATGTTTGTGTAACTTATAAGGACAGGGAAATTTCTGGTTAAAAATAACTTGTATCTGAATAATCAATTATGAATTCTATGATGAAAAATATTTCTATTTGACTGAATAGTATAACTTTTCTTTCACTAAATTAACATTTACCATGTACTTAAGTGACAACTAGTAATACTTATAAGCAAAAAGTTTCTAGCATTCAACCAATTAAGTTCTAGACATTTCTGTAGAGCCTTCCTAAAACGTCTTCTAATCAAATCCTTCTTTTTTTCCCCCAGTAAGACTTCACACAAATATAATTTTCTCTAATAGTCTCAATTTTCATAGGCTGAGGTTAAGTATTTCTATTTGATAAAAGAACAGACATTGGACAATTTTAAGACTCCTCAAGACTTGGCATTAAAAACTAAAATATCAGTCATCAAAATTCCTATTTTTATGTCTGTCACTCACTAAACAACCCTTGGAAAATGATTTCCAAAGTGATTTTCCAGTCAGACTTGTGTGAAGTGTGTTTGTTGTGGTTTTTATTAATAGCCTGTCATAATGTACAACACCTGGATTCCTTTCCATGAATGTGTTTATGTATGCCCACTGACATCACCCACTTGAAACAGAACCCAGTACTTACAACTCATTAAGACTAAACATTTTCTATGGGCTTTGGTTTCCAGTATCTGCCTCTCTAGAGTTACTAATACTTACTACCCTCAATTACAGAAAAAACTCAGTTAACAAAAGTTCTGAGGTATATAAAGAACATTCATTTAAGAATATAAAGTAGTTAACATTTCCTTTTACTCAAAAAAAAAAAATCACTTCAGAGTTGAGGTCCATTTACAAAAGACATGATCAATCACATTTATCACTAGACACAAAGGATATACCAAAGGTCTTTAAAAATGGTAATTAATCTCAGAAAGGAAAATTAATTTTAACTTTCATATTTCATTATCAAGACCATACTTGCTTAACAAGATAATTATGTTATTGATACAAAACATACAGTATTTACACTTAACTGTACAAAATAATTTAATGTTTACAAAAATATTAGAATGTTTAGCTGACTGACACAGTCTTAAGTAATCTCTTCTAGAGAAGCATATAGTAAGACCACTGATTTTCATTTCATTTCTTTTTTAATAAGTCAAAGAAAGGATGCTGCAATGCTTCATCCAAGGTAATTCTTTTGGCTGGATCATATTCTAACATTCTTCGAACCAGGTCAAATAGTTTCTCATGTTCTTCATCATGACAAAGCATAAATTCCTGGAGGGGAAACATTTTTGTTTAAAATGCATTAGTAACAGTTAACACATGTTTTTATTCTTAACTTTTAATTTTTTTATTTTACCTTTAATGGTTTGCAGCGTCTCCTAACATATCTACCAGCAGAACTGTGTTCATCCCAATCTAGCTGGTTATGGTGAAAATACTTGCGTTTTCTACAGGAAAAGGAAGTCTGAATCAATAAAATAACAAAAGATCCACATCTTTACCATGCACCCAACAGAGTATGGAAACAAACATCACCTTCCAAATGGGCAGACATATACATGTACATACAATCTTCTAGTCTCAGCAACAATCAGGTATGATGCTTTACACTTTATCTTCTACCCAGTGAGGTTTTAATATCTCAACTAAGCTGTTCCCAAATACCATATGTGGAAAATGCCAGCTTTAAAAGTAGAGGCTCCTGGATCCATTTCTGTAAATTCTGACTTCACTAGATCTCAAATGGGCTAGGAAATCTTTAAATAACCACTGGGAAACTTCTGTGGTGGAATCTACTGCAGTAACTTGACCAAAGGCACACAGCTAGTTAGTAACAGCATGGAATTCACAGATTGACAGGACTACAAAATACATATGTATTATTTTTAGCTCAACATAAGAAAACATTCATGCAAAGGTTAACTGTAGAGTTAAAAACATGACTTTTAGGGGCTAGCATTGTGGTGTAGCAGTTAAAGCTGCTACCTGTGACACTGGCATCCTATATGGATGCCAGTTTGTGTCCGGCTGTTCCACTTCCAATCCAGCTCCCCGCTAATATGCCTGGGAAAGTGGCAGAAGATAGCCTACGCTCTTGGGCCCCTGCCACCCACATGGGGGACCTGGAAGAAGCTCCTGGCTTCGTCTAGTCCAGCCTAGCCTTTTGTAGCCATTTGGGGAGTGAATTAGCAGATGGAAGATCTTTGTCTCTCCCTTTCTCTGTGTGTAACTCTGCCTTCCAAATAATTTTTTTAAAACGACATAAAAGGGGTGGGGGAGGAAGGTGCAGTTGGAAGTTCTCACAAGTACAGGGGAAAAAAAAAATTCAAAATCTGAAGTCCTTAGGCCATATAACAAAGTTAGATTTTCTGTAGTTTGAATATAACCACTGCACGTATCCAATGAAGGACTTTAACTTTAAAACTTACCTTGTTTTCTGAATCATGTGTGTTGGTATGGGTCCTAATATTCGTTCCATCATTGCCAGGTGCTCTTTACTATCATGAGTCTAAAAATCACAAGAAAAAGAAATTTAGTACACTCTCCATTTCTCCTCACACACATGAAAAGAGAATATAAGAGAATAGTGCTGAGGTCAGCACGGTGGCACAGCAGGTTTAAGCCACCACCTGCAGAGCTGGTATCCTGTATGGACAACAGTTTGAGTCCTGGCTGTTCCACTTCTGATGCTAATATGCCTGGGAAAGCTTTGGAAGATAGCCCAAGTGCTTGGGGCCCTGCACCCATAATGGGAGACCTGGATAAAGCTCCTGGCTTCAGCCTGGCCCAACCCTGGCCGTTGCAACCATTTGGGGAGTAAACCAGCAGATGGAAGATCTCTCTCTGTAATTCCACCTTTCAAATAAATAAATAAATAAATCTTTTAAAACAGACAATCTACATTATACAATACTGCAAAGATGCAACAATACTGAATAAGCTGCATCATCTGGTGCAAAAACAGTAAAATTAATGTCTCTGAGACGGACCAGAAAGGTTCTGCATAGTGATTGACAAGTACCTTGTTTAATGTAAAACTGAACAGTTTCCTTCTTTATTTGTATTTTCTGCACTGTTTAACTGAAGAATGACTGAGGAAGATTACCAGAAAAATACATCCTCTTCATTTAATCAGCTACTTAAACAAAATTAACTTCTATTAGCCACCAAACTGCCCACCTACTAACATTTACTAATTCCAGGCAATAAAAATACAGTCCCAATAATTCTCCTAACAATTCTAAGTTTGGTAGGTGCGAATATGGGTTTCAAAGAGATTAAGATACCAGAGCTCCAACATATAGCTCATAAATGTAGAAAGCTGAGCTATAAACCCAAGACAAAGCTCAAATTCTTAAACTATACACAGACAGAGGTTTGGCTAAAGCCGAGAGAGAAGACTATTACATTTACAGCCAAAATGATATGCCTCCAGAGCACAGGCTGGCAAACTCTCTGTGAAGAGCCAGAGAGCAAGCATTTTAGGCTTGGCTGGTCCCAAATGGTCTCTGTCTCACTTTTTATTTCCCCCCCAAACAGGCATTAGGCAAGATTCACCATGGGCCAGTTTGCCAATCGCTGTTCTGGAGAACAGAAGCTGTGCTTAATGCTTTTAAAATCCATCACACACTGTGCAGAGTACATTGCCTTCTTTAAAATGCTACGAATTCATCACAAGAATAAATTAATACTATCTCCACATTTTTAAAATGTTTCTTAGTTTAATGATATTTTCAAGTTAGAAATAAAATATAAACATCTCAAATTAATGTTACCAATTGCCATTTGAGATCTGAAAGTGATCTGTGAGTGCAGTCATTTGAAGCACCTGTTTTATGTACATCAGAAGGAAGCAAACAGGAACTTTTAATTTTTTGTTGACCCTGCATCTCACACCACAAAACTAGATACCATCTCCCAAAATGGATAACTGTGGTTCTAGACATTAAACGTGTCTATCAACTTTTGAGTACTTTTCAATGGGATCTTTACATTAGCCAGAAACGGATGTCTGATGAGGTGTCCCGCAAGCACTCACGCTCTAATCATCACTGTTTGTGTTCCCTTGCACTGCCAGAAGTTCAAACCAATCAGTACAGTACTGAGTGAGCACCTAAAAACCCTTCTCCTCAAAACAAAGCAAGACAGGTCAATACAACACCCTGCCCATTCCACATACCTACTAAACATTCTTCAATGTTACATTCTTTCAGGCGAAAGTAAAACTATAGGGAATAAACTGGAAACCAAACTAGGTTTCTGCAATTATTTTGAAAGAACAATCACCACCAATCATTACTAGCATTTCAGAAAAACACACATTCTAATGTGAAAAAAGCAGGAGCATGTTCTTTAAATAAAAGTTAGAATGGCAATTCTACAAAGTCATTTTCACTTTGGATCAGTCTGCATCTGGAAACACTGACTTCTAGGATAAAGCTATACCAGAGCATACAGGTCATTTACAAATTAGTCCCACTGTAATCATTTTCCCATTTGCTTAAGACACTCTGATAACAATACTATGTTCCTTTACTCCTCTGTGGACCTTCCCCTTACATGCCCATCACATTCCAGTTTCAAATGACTATATTTCCTTTTAGCATTGGCTTAAATTCTCTTGAACTCCTGCACTTTATACAAAATCGTTCCATATAGTAAAAACCACACCATATTCTAATAATTTCTCCTTTTTTTTTTTTTTTTTTGACAGGCAGAGTGGACAGTGAGAGAGAGAAAGAGAGAAAGGTCTTCCTTTTCCGTTGGTTCACCCCACAATGGCCGCTGCGGCTAGCGCGCTGCGTCTGGCGCGCTGTGGCCGGTGCACCGCGCTGATCCGAAGCCAGGAGCCAGGTGCCTCTCCTGGTCTCCCGTGCGGGTGCAGGGCCCAAGGACTTGGGCCATCCTCCACTGCACTCTGGGGGCCACAGCAGACAGCTGGACAGGAAGAGCAACCGGGACAGAGTCTGGTGCCCCGACCGGGACTAGACCCCAGTGTGCTGGCGCTGCAGGTGGAGGATTAGTCTATTCAGCCGTGGTGCCTGCCTCTCCATGTCTTTTATGACTTCCTTGAGGACAGATGCGTTATCTTCCCATCTTTACACATGTAGTACTTAGAAATGCCTAAGACATCATAAATACGTAATACTTAAACTTTTTTTAAAAAAATTTATTTTATTTGAAAGTCAGAGCCATACAGAGAGGTCTTCCATCCACTGGTTCACTTTCCAACTGACTGCAATAGCTGGAGCTGTGCGGATCTGGGTCTGCCACACCGGTGCAGGGGCCAAGGCCTTGGCCCATCCTGTACTGCTTTCCCAGGCCACAGCAGAGAGCTGGATCGGAAGTGGAGCAGCCAGGACTAGAACCGGTGCCCACATGGGATGCTGGTACTGTAGGCAGTGTCCTCACCCACTATGCCACAATGCTGGCTCCTCTTAAATTCTTTTATAAAAAGGAGTGACTTGCTCATGGTCATACTGTCAGTGCACATAATCTTAAGTGAATTAAACCCAGGGCAGTAGACATTCAGCATAGCATTAGAATACCCATATCCCACCCACATCAGAATGTCTGGCTCCCATTGCCAACTCCAAAGCTTTTCTCCAATGCAAACCCTGGGAAGCAGTGATGGTTCAAGAAACTGTTCCTGCCACCCACATGGAAGTCCTGCATTGTATTCTCTGCTCCCAGCTTCAGCCCCAGCTCAGCTTTCAGCTATTGCAGGCATCTTAGGAGTGAATCAGCAAATGGGAGCTCTCTGTTTGCCTCTCAAATAAAAGATATTTTTAAAAAATTCCAATGGCCGTACTGACACTAGTGCAAATTCATGATAGAGCTCTATAATGAAAAAAATGGAAACATGAGATAACACAAACCATAAATGATCTAATCACCAATCAGATACAAAACTGACCTATGACCATTCAGTATTAGTATTTAATTCCTGTGGCTTAATGCAAGGATAATTACTTTCACACATAAATTTTAACCTCAAGAATAATGGTCTATGTCAACTTTCCAATATGGAAGCACACTGTAACATGCCATTAACATTTAAAATTAATTATGATTATTAAAAAATTTACTACATACATACCTGAAAGACTGTGAACCCAAGGTAATATTCAATAAGAATGCAACCTATGCTCCACACATCGCAAGGCTGAGACCAACCTAAAGCTATTTAAAAACAAATACAAACATTTTTACTATGCAACAATTTCTAATTATCAAAGCATCCTAAATTCTTCTCCATATGATGCTCTTACCTAGTCCATTTGGGAGAGAAGGACAGAAAATTCATGGTTTACATTTTTAGTTTTATAGCAAATGTTATTCAGTATGTTCTCAGAGTCCATATGCTGGTATGAAAATTGTTATTTTAACCAATATGGGGGAATTTTATATAAAATAAGGGAGTGGCTAGCAAACATTTGTCAACTTTACCAATTTGTGCAAATATTCCACAGTCTCTGAACTGCTAATCAACAGGGGGCATTGCCACTGAAACACGGCTGAGCCAGGAATTTTTATATTTTGTCATACAATCACGGACTATAGTTATCCTCAGAATGTAATTATCTAGCCCTTAGCAATTATCACCAGCTTCATGCGTTGAGGTTCTTTCTTCTATTAAAAGAAACACTATTATTTTACATAAATTATGTAAAAACTTGGGGATTATAAATAAAACAATTTTACCTATGAGCAGAGATTTAGAGATACTGAAGTTCAAATAGCATCTCTATCTGTGTTTCCCCCATCTACCCACGATCATATAAACTTGCTCCTTCAGAACTGTCAATGGCAATGCTACTCAGGAAATAAAACATCAAACCTTTTTAAGCCTATACTTAATTGGAAAGAAGACAGGACAAACCAGACAGATGTTTGGCAAATATTCAGCAAAACTGTAATACTCATATATATGAAAAAGCTAGTTTAAGAGACATGTAAGTTACTTCCAGTAACGCTGCTAAGGTTAAGGATATAGGAAGAGCCGGCGCCGTGGCTCAATAGGCTAATCCTCCACCTTGCGGCGCCGGCACACCGGGTTCTAGTCCCGGTCGGGGCGCCGGATTCTGTCCCGGTTGCCCCTCTTCCAGGCCAGCTCTCTGCTATGGCCAGGGAGTGCAGTGGAGGATGGCCCAGGTGCTTGGGCCCTGCACCCCATGGGAGACCAGGAAAAGCACCTGGCTCCTGGCTCCTGCCATCGGATCAGCGCGGTGCGCCGGCCGCGGCGGCCATTGGAGGGTGAACCAACGGCAAAAGGAAGACCTTTCTCTCTGTCTCTCTCTCTCACTGTCCACTCTGCCTGTCAAAAAAAAAAAAAAAAAAAAAAAAAAAAAAAAAAAAAGGATATAGGAAGAGACCGTACCTTCAAAGGCCTCGACTATGATTCAGTCATTTAACCCCCACAGTGCCTATCATTTGAACAAATGGGTAATAGTGGAACAGGGTTTCTATTTACAGTAACACATATAAAGACTACAGAGCTTGGACCTCACTCAGGTAAAGATTTCTTCTTCATTCCAATTTCCCAGTCTAGCTTTTCCTCCAAGTGACTAACTTGCTGCAGCACACCATTCCACATCATCCTATTCTTGGATGAGCCAGTGCTTCTGCCTTTGGAATTCTACATCATTCATTTTTTTTTTAACGCAAAAGGCTACAATATTTTACTATTTCAACATGAAATTTATCCAGAGCTCTAATAATACGTACATAATTCTGGCATAGGCTTAAGTTATTAATAATTCATACATTTGAAAACAAATATATACAACATGTCAAAATAAACCCTTCAAGACCATATGTAAGCAATCCAAGGACATGGGACTTTAGGTACTAATTTTGACAACCCTTTCCCAACCTTACCTGTTTGGTTCAACATCTAAGACTTAATATTAAGACCAACCATACTCCTCAACGCAGCACCTGACTACATCTTCCTTCCTAACCTAACTCTGCAAGGATCTTGCTAATCTTCCAATTACCTCAAGGTAATGTCTCCAGTTTCATACTTCTATCAACTATATGTTGCCTGGCCACTTCTGGAACTCTCAATGTCTTCTCCCATTGTCACCAGGCCTCCAACCACATCTCTGAATCCTCTGCCCTATTAACATGATCTGATCTCTAGCTTTTAAATTTTCACATGTAAAGGCAATACACTGCCTTACTGAGTCTGCTGTTATTTCAAACTTCTGAACCTTAACTCCTTTTCTTTTCCAACCTTTCTCACATCAAGAGGCTCTCCTTTTACTCTAAGTTCTCTTTCTTCTCCTCTTAATCTCTACTCATCTACTATCTAGATGTTTATGATAATTTAAGATGAATTCATTAAAAATGACCACCTGGAAGATTGCTCACCAATGATATTGCATTTGTTTCACTTAAGAAAAATAATTTATAGCATTTTTATGAAAACAGAAAATGTTCTCTGTACACTGCTAAGACTGTTCTATCCATGACCCATCCCACCCTCCAAGAACAGAAGCAGTGAAGAATAAAGAACAAAAATCCCTTCAGATACAGTATCAGAAATCTGGTGTCTACTGACCCAAAATGACCTCTGGAGCTCTGTAGTGCCGTGTGGATACCAAAGTACTGTGATGCTCATCATCATATGTTGCACTACCAAAGTCAACAACTTTGATATCTGTGTTTTTCAGTGTGCGTTCATCGCGTTTCTAGAGAGATATACAGTTGATTATCATGAAACCTGATTACAGTGTCACTACCCAAAAGGCTTGTATATTAACTTCCCGATGGCTAACATAGCCTTTGAGAAAGGCAAGGGCGTTCATGGTTAAACATGAAGATATAATAAAGCTTAAAAACAAAACAAAAACATGAGAACATAATGAGGCTCAGAAATGAAATGATTCACCCATGGATCACTAACTTGTTTTTTGTTTTTAAACTTTTATTTACCTATAAAAAGGTAGAGAGACAGACATCTCTTATGTGTTTGTTCACTATACCCCACAAGCCAGCAAGAGCTGGGGCTAGGTGAGGCAGTAGTGAGGAGCCAGAACTCAATCCAGGTCTCCTGCATGGATGCCAAGGACATGGATGCAACTACCTGAGTCATCACCTTCCTGTGTGCATTAGCAGGAGGCTGGAACTGGGAGCAGAGCTAGGACTCAGACCCAGGTACTCTGACGTGGGATGACAGCATCCCAAGTAGCATCTTAATCACTATGCCAAGGGTGGGGAAACTTGTCTGGATATTTATAACATAATTTGTGGACCATACAAAATTATTAACTTAAAAATTAGCCTCTGGGGCTGGCACAGTGGTGTATTGGGTAAAGCCGCTGCCTGTAGTGCTGGAATCCCATGTGGGCCCTGGTTTGAGTCCTGGCTGCCACTTCCGATCCAGCTCTCTGCTATGGCTGGAAAGCAGTAGAAGATGGCCCAAGTTCTTGGGTCTCTTTCTCTCTCTCTCTGCCTTTCTGTAATTCTGCCTTTCAAATAAATAAACTTTTAAAAGAAAAATTAGCCTGCTATATAAACTTAATAAATTTTGAGTATCACATGCAAGGTTGCTTTGGCAGATTCCACAGGTCTTATACGGCCCCCAGTCAGCTGTTCCCCATGCCTTAACTACAACAAATGTCTGCACAAAACTGTTATTTTTGGCAACCAAAATGAAAACAAGTCTTTAGCTTACCATTTTAGAATTATATTTGACTACATAGTCAGACTTCACAAATAAGATATTTTCAGGCTTCAAATCTGTATGAGTTAATTTATTATGATGCAAAACTAAAAAAAAAAAAACCCAAAAAGACAGTATTAGCTTTACTTGCAAATTTGTACTGAGGGAGGACTGGCAGTGAACACAGGGTTAGCAAGTTTCATCTTTATCTCTAATACGTGTTTGTGCAGTGACAATGTTTTGATACTTTTTTTTTGGTAATGTATACTTCAAAATTTTCTGGTGTTTAAAGACTTATCAAGTATACTTACAGTTGATTGACTGGCAGATCTGATAGGCCATCTGCCTGATGTGGTCAATTTGAAATGGCAGAAAGCTATTTTCTTTAATGAAATCATAGGTACTGAGGCCAAGCAGTTCAAACACGATACAAACATGACCATGATGATCAAACCATTCTAGCATCTGGACACATCGGCTAAAAAGATCAAAATAATACTTCAGTTCACAGCATTCTGATTATTTCGTGTAATATGATGGCTCATAGTTCAAATTTATACTTACAAGACGCTATTGGGATCAGTACTATTTAAATGCTCCAGTACTTGGATTTCTGAACGAGCTGCTTCACGGTAACGACCTACATTTTTTACAATTTTCACTGCTACATGTATGCCATCCCTTAAAAACAAAATTAAGATGAATATGGTATATGTATAGGAGTAGATTCAAGCCATGCATCCTCTGAATTATAATTACAGTTACCAGTTTCTCTCCATGCTAATATTTCTACAATGATCTTCAGAGCATATTGTACCAAATGTCACATAACTTCTTTTCAAAACGTTTTGACAAAATATATTTTATAGGGAACAATGAATTCATTAATACTTATGAAATTTAATGTTTGTCCCCAGATTTTTAAATGTATCTGGATTTTATGCAAAAGTTAAAAAAAATATAAGCCTGGGGGCCAGCACTGTGGTGCAGCAGTAAAGTTCCATTCTGAAGTGCCGGCATGTTCTAGTCCTGGCCGTTCTACTTCCAATCCAGCTCTCTGCTGTCGCCTCCGTCCTTGGGCCCCTGCGTCTATGTAGGAGACCTGGAAGAAGCTCCTGGCTCCTGACTTTGGATTGGCTCAGCTCCGGCTATTGTGGCCATTTGGGGAGTGAACCAGCAGATGGAAGATCTCTATCTCTACCTCTCTCTGTAACTCTGTATTTCAAATAAATAAAAATTAAAAAAAAAAAAAAAGCTCCTACTGAAAGCATTCATTCATCCATAAGGATAGACCTACTCTGTGACAGTGCCTACATGTTAGTGATGGAAAGAGAGAGCTTGTCCCTAAATACCTGAGTCTAATGGAAAAGACATATACATGAACAACTTAAGACTGTTTCACAAAAGGGAGGACACAGAACTGAGTCTTTGAAGACAGCTACTGAGATTGTCAGATTGGGAGGCAAATGGAACATCCAAGCAAAGATGACACCATCTATAAATCATGAACTCAGGAAAATGCTTAGCATATTCCTAGATGCACGTGTGCAGAAACCACTAACAACGTAGGGCAGTGGGCTTTGCATTGGGACATCTGTGGGCATACTTCCTAAAAATATAAAGCCACCAACAATTTTGAGGAAATCAATTTTAAATCAACTTCCTTTTGTCCTCATTTCTAAACCTGAACTGTCAGCATTCAAGCCTTTTCACTATTGCCATTCCACTGTACAAAAGAGAAAACTTGACCCACTAAATACTTGTTATTAGTATTAGCAAGATGTATTCGGGGTTGGTGCTGTGGCATAGCGGGTAAAGCCACCACCTGCAGTGCTGGCATCCCTTATGGGCGCCAATTCAAGTCCCGGCTGCTCTACTTCTGATCCAGCTCTGCTATGGCCTGGGAAAGCAGTAGAAGATGGCCTAAGTCCTTGGGCCCCTGCACCCACGTGTGAAGACCTGGATGAAGCTCCTGGCCCTGGATCGGCACAGCTCCGGCCATTGCAGCCAATTGGGGACATTAATGAGACAAGTGGTGAAATCTGAGTAAGAGCTACAGATCAGCTAGCAAAATCTAAAAACATGACATGAATACAGAAAACACAAATACTGTGAAATGTTAACATTTGGGAAATATAAGTAAAGGGCCCAGGAGTATTCTTTCAACTATTTTAGCAACTTTTCTGTGAGTGTAAAAATATTTTAAAATTCAATTTACAGCCACATTTTTGTTGCAGAAAGCAAGAGCAAAATTGAGAATTTAGGGTAGCATTCTTTATGGAAAGTGAAATGAAAATAAGTTCAAGAATAAAAAAACACTGCTAAGTATATCTTCAGGAAGTTTGTTCATGCATGACGACAGGTATGACGCTGCCACGATGTTTAAGAGTCCCTTAAATAAACTTAGAGAGAAATTTTGTGCTTTTAAAATATTACTTCTTACAATAAGCTGGAAATCATATATTTTCCAACCATTTTATGTTGAAAAAGCTCAGATGTCATTTTAGAAATAGGCAGTTTCATTCAATTAAGAGGTTCACTTACAAAAAAAGTTTGCAAGCCACAGAATTTAAGTCCTGGAGCAGAATTTTGGGCCCAGTGTTGTGGTGTAGTAGGCTAAGCCTCTGCCTGCAGTGCCGGCATCCCATAGGGTGCTGGTTCGGGTCCCAGTTGCTCCTCTTCTGATCCAAAGCTCTGCTGATGGCCTGGGAAAGCAGCAGAAGATGGCCCAAGTGCTCTGGCCCTGAACCCACGTGGGAGACCCAGAAGAAGCTCCTGGCTCCGGATTGGCCCAGCTCCAGCTGTTGCGGCCATTTGCAGAGTAAAACAGCAGATGGAACACCTTTCTCTGTCTCTCCCTCTCTGTAACTCTACCTCTCAAATACATAAGTAAAATCTTTTTAAAAAAATTAAATTTTATTCTGTACGCCTTAATTAATATAACTTCTTTATAATTTGGGGAGCTAAACTCTAACATACAAGACCAGATTTGCATTATCTCTGCAATCCAAAAGCAACTGAAATTTCTTGTAGAGGCCGAGGCTCCAGTTCTGGGAAATTCCTTCAATGAACATCCACTTTAATTTCAATGAATTCCATCTGACAGAAGTCTATCAACACCCCTTATCAAGATCCACTCTCATAGCAAATAAAGCATACAGAGGTCAAGAAATATTATTTTTATCTTCCAGGAAAACACCCAAGTACCATTTAAAATGTATCTCATCTAAATTACGAGCCCTTCTCCAGCAAAAATTTCAGGATAAAAAACTAAAAACAAAAATAGACTTACATGCCATGATCAATGCACTCTACAACTTTGCCAAAGGCCCCTTCACCCAAAGTGTCCACGATTTCATCTGAAGTGAGAAGGGGGAAAAGAGGTGTAAGTGTCCGAATGTAAATTATCAGTTAGTCAAACAATGAATGCTTAAGTGTGGAATATTTTCAAATGATCTCTAGCAAAGCATAATTAAAGTTTCAGCACTCAAATTATTTTCAGCTGCTACAAAAACAATTAGAGCTAAATTTCTTGCTCTAATCTCAAATTCCATTGATTATTTTGGAACTTTAGGTAGAAATATTTAAATTCTACAGAAAAGAAGAAATACAAAAAAACAAACAAACCCACAAAAAACAAAACAAAAAAAGCAATGAAGAGTTCTTTAGCCCCCCGCTGACAAACTATTCTTTAAAAGATTATTCTGTCTGCAAAGTTTAAAAAGTGTTGAAAAATATTCTATACATCTTGCTCTTAGAACGTCTCCACTTTGACAGATCAGGTGACCCTCCTCATCATCCTCTATACTCCTGGATCTTTTCCTTCGGTGGCTCTTCTGGAACGGCAAGTGGGCAGCACCAAGATCGTCCAGCCAATCAATATATCAGAGTGAATTCAGGGCAGAATACGCAATTCATTCAGCGGGGAGATATTCAGGCATTCAGATAAGCACCAGGCCACGAACAGTTGGCAGGAGCAATTTCAAATTCAGTCCCCAGAAATTCACAGGGCACAGTTTATGTTACAGAAGAAAAACATGGCAAGGAACAGATTTTCAGATAAGATACTTAAAGTGGCAATAGAAAAAAACAACACAATTGTCTCTTTAAAATACTGATTTAATTGAAGTCCAAAATTTAAAGAATGCAATGTCATGATTTACTAATCTCTTGTTATAAATAGCATATGCTGTGAATCGAGATGTCTAGTTTGTCAGAAAAATGTTTTAAAATGTCAAAATTAGTTGAAATTCTTATTTAGCAATATTTTAAAATATACATGGTTAAAATAAAAGGGGAAAACAAAGGCTAGTTAATTTCAATTCATGTTCAATTTAATAAAAATTCTACTAAAGAAAACTTTGGGAGAAAAACAACTCAGAGTTCATGGATCACACAAGTGAAGATGTCTGAGTGTAAACAAAGGCAGGCTTTTTGTATATAATACATTTACTTATTCAGCACCCATTTCAACAGAATTAGCTGCAGACAAGGATGCACTGTGCTAGGGAACCACACTGTACAGTTCGCAACATTTAAGTATCCAACAGTGCAACTTTCCATATTTGTTCCCAAGTATCAGGAATGGGGTTTCTTTCAAAGTAAGAAAAAAAATGTTTAAGATGACAGATGGGTGCTTCGTTTTTCATCAGAATAAATTACAAATGCTAAAATAAAATATTTCATAATTAAAATCAACAAACTCATGATCTGGTCTGCAGAGTTTGAGTAAATACAGGCAAATGAAGACTAGCTAATAAATACACAGATCAGCTATGAGCATTTGGTAGTTTCTTCCTTTAAGGATTCAAGTAATATAAATTTATATATATATATATATATACACACACACATCCAAATAGTATTATAGGAAGAAATTTTAGAAACCTATTGGCTCATTAAGAGCTCTTACACATATATAAGAATCCACTCAAAATAAAAACAAACTGAATCATACCGAACGTGACTGATGACTTGAACAGTGTCTATTATGCTTCCTTTTAGGACTGCTTCTCCTGCTTCGGACTGAAGATTTGCTGCAGTGGATGTGATAACCGCTTTCAATGTCTCTGTGATAATGTCTAGGAACATATCCTTCACAGTAGTCATTTCTGTATTCATCTATGTACCTCCGGTCCCGATAATCTCTCTCATTCAAGGACCTTGCTTCTAAATAATGACTGCAAATACATTAAAGGATTTCAAATTACTCTCCTCATTCTAGAAAAATATGGTCCAAAAAAACATTCTCTCAGGAATTTTTTTTTAAAATAATTCAAAGTGATGAGTTAGAATTTATACTTATCTTACAGAGTTTAAAAAATAATGTACTTTTAGCCAATAAGCAAATAAGCCTTATTTCCCCATTATATAGACTGTTGTCAAGCACTTCACACCAAGGAACAAAGCCTAATTCAAATCATTAATTTATTATATTTAGTAAGTACTCCTAATACACTCCAGACAAAGCCAAAACCAAAAATTCACAACTGCTCTTTTAGAACTCACAATATATCTGTAACCAAGCTGGCTTTCCTGTACAATCAGGGGCAAGAAAAACAGGACGCCTTTCTCTTTTAGTACAAGTGCATTTTAGATATCCCTGGCATGCAGTGAACTCTTTCATGAAAGGTGTATCAGAGTCTTAGTGTATTCCAGCCCTTTCATTTCACCAATGACAACATTAAGATCCCTAAATGATCTGCCATGGTTGCAGAGCACATAAGCTACAAAAACTGAGGTATTTCCTAACTTTCATGATACACGTCAATTTTACTATATATATCACCTATCCTGTCTGGTCTTCTCTCTACATTCCTAGCCCTCTGCTATTCCCATTTGAGGAACAGGCAACATAGCACTTATCAGGACTGCTGAAACAGATCTCCTTCAGATGAGAAAGGGATCCTGTAATTGCCTGCCTAAATTACAAAACACCTACTACCCTACTTCTCTATGTATTTCTAACCTCTTGTCATTCCTGCCAGAGAAATACATTATAACTGAGTAATCTGATAAAAACTATAGAAACAAAAATTGCATAAACAAAACTTTGCAAGGAATTTCAGAAGTCACAGACCTTAGGAACTCAATGGTCACAGTTTAATTGCCTTAATCTGATGGAAAGAAAGGACACAAATTCAATTGGCCCAGTTTCCCAGCCCCCTCTCTACCTGGGATGAATGTCCTCTTCAACAGAGTGCGAAGCTTCAAGAGGGATGCACATGGAGCACTGAGGGAGAGAGGGGACACCTGCCCAGTCAGAGAAATTGGCTAGAATAATCCTGACAAGCAACGGAGTGACAGATGTTGACTACATTGCCCTCATCAACCCTCTTTCTTTTCCCAGAATGAGCTGTCATTCTTTTTCCCAAGGGGCTGGCTTAGGCAGAAATAAAGGAAAGAAACATCCCTCAAACTACTAATCAACAGGACTGGCATTAAATCCAGGCTAGAGAGAGGCAGTAACTTCCCTTTTCTTTTCCTAGCATCAGATATAAGTTCTGTCTGTTGGAGAAACAAATCAGGATAGTGGGTCTTGATCAGGGATCTGATCAGCTGGCTTCGAACTGTCAGAGAGAAAAGTCACAATACTTTTCTAACAGGCTAAAAATTACAATACTCCTAGTGGCATCCTGTCTAATTCTCTAAGGCAATTTTCCCATAAAAGTCCAAAATCTTTCTATCAGAAAAAACACCAATAATTTTAGCTAGAATAGTATGTGAAATTAAAGCTGCTGATAATCCAAAACAATTTAGAGAATAACAAAACATGCAGTGATATAATACAACATAGATTAAACTAAGAGGATGAAGACCTCGCTTCAATCTATAATAACCAAGGACCACACCTTAGAAATTACAGTCCATAGAATTATGTAGGCAGTGGGCGGGGCAGAAGGGGTAAACACTAATTTAATTTTTAAAAATAGTCACTGAATGCCCAGTGAATATTTCACCATGACCTTTCAAAATAGCCAAGAATGATGAGTGTATGGGCATTTATTTTTATTTCCACACAGGTCCTGTGGGAGTAAAAAAAAAAAAAATTATATAAGGCAAAGTCCTTGCCAACAAATGAACAATTTGAGATTACTACTACAAAAATAGAATTCAGTAACAAAGGAAATGTTGAAAAGTTGCATATGAGTGTTTAGAAGGGCAAGAACTCAATTTGCTTAAAAGTCAAAGTAGAATTGATAAAAAAAATATGGCAACAGATTTGTATCTTACAGGGAACCCAGGATTTGGACCAACTGGAAAATGCCAGAAATTCCAGGGGAGAAGATTGGAATATTACCATCTTACATTCTTATAGCACTTTTACCAACAATGGTTTAGAGATGGATTTGTCTATGTATTATTCAGGAAGCAGTAAACAGACAATTCAAGCAAGAATGATGTTCACCCAGGGGAATACAGACAAATACACAGTGTATGGGCAAGGCTAAGGAATGTTTCTCAAAGGAGGTCTCTTTATCAACATCAACTACGGAGTTCTTATTAAAAATCAGAGCCCTGGGCCCCAGGTCGCACTCACTAGTCTAAATCATTAATCTATATTTGGTAAATCTGGTAGGCATGATTCTTATCCACAGTAAAGTTTGAGTATCTTTTTTTAAATGTAGTGTTTACAGCAACATAACTCTTCCAACTATATGAAAAATGGGTTAATTAGGAAGAGAGACCAATTCACAGGCTACTACAAAAAGATAAATCAGAAAAACTTTGCAATATATATGGCGAAATAATTAACATGCAATAACAAAATCTTCTAAATTGGTAAGAAATTTTAAAAGAAAAACAGATTAAGAAAAAAAGTTTGAGTGGTCTATTAATACATGAGCGGACAAACTCACAAGAAATTTAAAAGTTCCCATTAAAACAAAAGACTATCCTTGGCCTGCTGAGAGCATGAAGAAGCATTAGAAGTTGCAGAAGTATAATTTGATACAAGCTTCCTAGAAAAAGAAAAGTAAACATGTTGCAAGAACCCTCTAACCTTTCATACCCTTTAACCTGAAAATACCTCTTCTTAAAATTTATTTTCAGGAAATAAAGCAAAAACTTGTATACAAAGAAATTTCAAGATTAGAAATAATTTATATTAAAATAGCAGGGCACTAGCATCCTAGTCAAGTTACCTTCTTTATACTTCTCTGCAGTTTTCATTTTCCTGTAATTTTATAAAAAGCTCTGTAAAGTTTTTAACTTAAAATTATTAGGATAGACTGGATTACGGTGAGCAATACTACGAAAGATGTTTCGTATCAATGTTAAAGAAAAAGTATTGGCATGATGGTTAACTGGACTCAGTATTGTTTTTATGTAGCCAGCTATGAACATCAATCAACAGTTCACTCAAGTCACTTCCTTTCTACATATAAGATAAATAACCCATGAGTAATAGTGCTATGTTGTTAAACCTTGAAGAATTTTAAGATTCCTTAAATTCTATATAAATGTATTGCCTTCAAATTTTACCACAGAGTACTATAAAGCAGGACACATTTGTACTGATTAGTAATGAGATACAGTTTTTTTTACAGTATACTGTATGCTACTCTCTTGTCATTGAAGTGTTGCCATAAACCCTCCCTCTTCCTCTTATGTAACAATGTCTGAGGAAGCACAATCAGTCTGTACTGCCCATAAACAAGCTCCCTGTTCAGGAGAAAAAAATCTCTTTAGCATGGAGAAGGAAAAAAATTACATACTGTTTTTTTAAAGTAACCCCAGCTGGCTAATTTAGAAAGCAATCTGGTAAACAGTCCCAACGGAATATCTGTACAAACAAGGAGAAAACATAGAACCAAGAAAACAAATGAGAACAGGAGATTAATGGAAGACAGTGAAAGAAACGCAAGTGACCTAGCCTTTAATTACGTAGAACTTCAAGATTCTTTTCTATATAAATTGTATATATTACCACCAAACTTTATACCATAATACCATAAAATAGGACACATGCTACTAGAAATTTTTATTGAGGCCCTTTCCTAAATTATTAGCTACTGCCTATACAAACGTTTTTAAAATAAAGAACATGTCTAAATATCCCAAAGAAACATACCCATTAGTCTTATTCTATAAATGTAATTATTCAACATAATACAAGTAACCAATCCCAATGTATTTTGACATTCCTGAATAACACGTATGCTGCTTTATTCATCTGGATCAACTCCTCTCCCTGATATTCTCCTCTGTGAAATGCTTAACAGGCAACCAAACAAATACATCTCCCTCCTACATACAAGGATGGGCAGTCACTGGGCATTCTATTACCATTATTACTTAACTTCTCTGTGTGCCTCATGTCCTCAACTACTTAACTGCCAGCTGGGACTCAATGTTACTTAATCTCTCTTACATTCACTTACTGATCAATTGTCTCCCAACACTCCTAAAGATACATGAGCACAGGAACTCTGTTTAATTCATACCTGTAGCCTCAACTATACAGTTCAGCCTACAACAGGAACTCAAATTAGTATTTTCTTAGGGGTTAGTATTACAGTACAGAAGTTTAAACTGCCACCAGGTACTCCAGATTCCATCTTGGCAAGCCTGGTTTGAGTCTTGGCTATTCCATACTTCTGACTCAGTTTCCTGCTAATGCATCTAGGAAGCAGCAGATGGTCCAAGTGCTTGGGTGGGGTTCCTGTCAACCACACAGGACAGCAGGATGGAGTTTTTGGCCAACCCCTGGCTGTCTGTAGGCATTTGGAGAATGAACCAGTAGATGAAAGCTGTCTCTCCCCTTTCAAATAAATACATAAATCTTTTTAAAAAATAAATACTTTCTGGGTGAATAAATATTTATTTACCAAATTATAAGACAATTTGACAAATGAAAAGCTACATGAGCAAATGACAAATCATTAAAACTATTAGTACTAAAACACTACTAGTTCAAGAGCAATTTACCAATCAGATTCTTT